GCTGAGGGACAGCGCTCAGGCCCAGAGTTCAGGCCCCACAACCAGACCCCAAAGGTGGAGCCAGGTGCCAGGGGCTCATGCTTATAATCTTAGGTACTCAAGAGGCTGAGATCTGAGGATCAGGGTTTGGGGTCAGCCTGGGCAGGAAAGTCCGAGAGACTCTTATCTCCACTGAACTAACCAAAAAGCTAAAAGTGGAGCTGTAACTCAAGTGGTAGAGCACTAACCTGGAGCAAAAAAACTCGAGGACAACATCCAGACCCCAAGACTGGCCCCAAGAAAAAAAGAAAAGTTAAAGATGGGAGGGATGGGCAATTTTTTTTTTCCTGCCAGTCCTGGGGCTTGAACTCAGGGCCTGGGAGCTGTCCCTGAACTCTTCAGCTCAAGGCTAGCACTCTACCACTTGAGCCACAGTGCCACTTTTGGCTTTTTCTGTTTATGTGGTGTTGAGGAATCGAACCCAGGGCTTTGTACATGCTAGGCAAGCACTCTACTGCGAAACCACATTCCCAGCCCCATGGGCAAACTTTTGAATCTGATCTACTGAGAAGTACTTTTGAATCATTAGAAAAATAATATATGATTATAGAAAATTATAAAAATAGAGAATACAGAAGAAATCATTTGTGGTATTAACAGGCAAAAATATAACCACTTGTAACATTATTTCCTCTCTTTACTCATATAAGTACTTAACAAAATTTGGATCACATTATATAGGTCTATCACAACATGAAAATTTTCATAATTTCTTAAATAAGCAAGGTTTTTGTTTTTAATGTAGGATCTCTACTCTATAGCCCAGGCTGGCTTCAAACTCTATCCTTTCAATTCATTTCCAAGTGTTGGGATTAGAAGTGTGGAACATAACTAGCCCTAATTAACTTTTTTGGTGTGTGGGTACTGGAGTCTGAATTTAGGGTCTTGTGCTTGTTAGAAAAATGTATTCAACTACTTGGTCCAAAAAAATAACTTGTTTCCATTTTAATTATTTTTTAATGGAGTTTCAAATTTATGTCTGGGCTTACCTAGATCACAATCCTATTTATGCTTCCTTGAAGCTGGGATGACAGATGTATACCAGCTTTCATTGGTTGAGATAGGGTCTCACAAACTTTTGCTCAGAATGGCCTTGTACTGTAATTTTCCTAATTTCTTGTGCCCCCCCCTCCACTGTGCCTGGCCACACAAGTTTTGATTTTATATTTTTCTATTCTATGGTTGTTTCAAAATGTTATTATTCTATATTAATGGCACTTATGCTATTTGTATCACTCCACCCCTCAGGTAGAGCTTGAATTCAGGGCCTTGAGTTCTCCCTGAGCTTTTTGCTCATAGTTGGTACTCTACAGTTTGAGGTACATCTCCACTTCCAGCTTTTTTTTTTTTTTGTCAGACCAGGGCCTTGAACTCAGACTTGGGTGCTGTCCCTAAGCTTCTTTGTGCTCAAGGCTAGTGCTTTACCACTTGAGCCACAGCAACCCTTCCAGGTTTTTTTGAGTAGTTTACTGGAAATAAGAATCTTATGAGGACTTTTCTGGGCTGGCTTCAAACTGCGATCCTTAGATCTCAGCCTCCTGAGTACCTGGGATTACAGGTGTAAGCCACCAGTACCCGGCAACTTCCAGCATTTATTGATTGATTGCCAGTCATGGGGCCTGAACTCTGGGCCTGGGCATTATCTCTCAGCTCTTCAGCTCAAGGCTAGCACTCTATCACTGGAGCCACAGCACCACTTCTGGCTTTTTCTGCTTATGTGGTGCTGAGGAATCGAACCCAGGGCCTCATGCATGCAAGGCAAGCGCTCTACAACTGAGCCATCTTCCCAGCCCTTGTTGGTTATTTAGACATAAGAGTATCTGAGTTTTGTCTGCCAGGGCAGGTTCCAAACATACTCTCAAATCTCAGCCTTCTAAGATTAAAGGCAGAGCCACTTGCAGCTGGCTCTGTTTTTAGCTTTTCCACTAACAAACAATACTTCATGAGTAACTTTATAGGTATTTGACCTTAGGCAAATAACTTATTTCTCCCCTAGATAATAATGTATCACTTTATTGGGTGGTATTGAGAGTGACAAATTTAAACATATATAAAAATATCACAAGGGCTAGGAATGTGGCTTAGTGGTAGAGTGCTTGCCTAGCATGCATGAAGCCCTGGGTTTGATTCCTTAGTGCCACATACACAGAAAAAGCTGGAAGTAGCACTGTGGCTCAAGTGGTAGAGCGCTAGCCTTGAGCAAAAAGAAGAGACAGTGCCCAGGACTGGCATACAAAACAAAACAAAAAAATAACCAAAAAAAGTTACAATAAGCACTATGGGTTAATTTGTTAAAAAAATTATCTTTCTATTTAAATTTTAGAAGTGTCCTTCAAACATGTTTACAGATATGTTCATTGAATCTCATGACTTTGACTATCAATTAGATTCCTGATATTTATGACTAGCTAGCTGGTGATATTTTGGAGTATTTTGGAGAATATCTTTCTCAATGGTGCATTAGAACAAACATTTAGGGCTGGGAAGTTGGCTCAGTGGTAGAGTGCTTGCCCCTCATGCATGAGGCCCTGGGTTCAATTCCTCAGCACCACATATGCAGAAAAAGCCGGAAGTGGTGCTGTGGCTCACGTGATAGGGCGCTAACCTTGAGCTGAAGAGTTGAGGGACAGCGCCCAAGCCCAGAGTTTAGTCCCCACAACTGACAACAAAAACGAAAACAAAAAAAGAACAAACGTTTACAGTAACTGTATGTTGAAGTAGGTATTTATTTATTTATTTTGGTGGTTAATTGCACCTAAGAATTTCAAGAACTTTTATGACCAGGCTGGCTTCAAACTGGATCCTCAGATCTGAGCCTCCAATGTAGGCAGGATTACAGGCCCTACATATCTTTTAATAGATAATGAACACTTAGATTATTCTATCTCTTGAAAATACTTCTGATTTAATCTAAATTTCTGTATTAGATTAAGATAATGTAGGAATAACTGTACTTTAGCAAGATAATATATTAAAACTTTTGCATTTTCAATAGAGAAATAAATTCCTTTAGCATAGGCACGGTCAATGCAAATGGGCTACAACTCATCTCTCTTTAGTTTACATCAGAATTATTAACATATTTTTAATTTTTATTTATTTTTTTGTCATGGGGCTTGAACTCTGGGCCTGAGTGCTGTCCCTCAGCTCTTCATCTCAAGGCTAGTGCTTGACCACTTGAGCCACAGTGCCATTTCTGGTTTTTTGGAAAGTCTCATGGACTTTCCTGCCTAGGCTGGCTTTGAATTGTGATCCTCAAGTCTCAGCCTCCTAAGTAGCTAGGATTACAGGCATGAGCCACCAGCGTCTGGCTTACATATTTCTTTAGTTTCCTATTTCCTGGAAAATATTCTATAGGTCAATTTTGTTCATTTTTCAGAGAGAAAACACCAATAATACACATCTTTGAGAAAATGGGACAGGTAAACTGATTAAAAACACTAATTCAAGCCAGACGCTGGTGACTCATACCTGTAATCCTAGCAACTCAAGAGGCTGAGATCTGAGGATGGTTCAAATTCAGCCCAGGCAGTCTCCATGAGATTCTCATCTCCAATAACCACCAGAAAACTGGAAGTGATACTGTGATAGAGTGCTAACCTTGAGTGAAAAAGCTCAGGGATAGTGCCCAGGTCCTGAGTTCAAGCCCTATGACAAAACAAACAAAAACAAGAAACCAAAACCATAATTCAGCCAGGCACAGGAGGCTCACACCTGTAATCCCAGCTATACAGGAGGCTGAGATCTAAGGACAGCTGATTGAAGCCAGCCTGGGAAGAAAAGACCCCTGAGACTCTTATCTCCAATTACCTATTCAAAAACCAGAAATGGATTTGTGGTTTAAAATAGTAGAGCACTAGCCTTGAGCAAAAGAGCTCAGGGACAGCTCCCAGGCCCTGAGTTCAAGCAAGCCCCATAACTGACAAAGAAAACAAAAACAAAAACAACCCACTAACTCATTTTTTACTTTTAAACATGAAGACAGTCAAATGCAAACCAGGAAAAGACATTTGAAATACATATATCCAGCAAAGAAGTAATACATACAACACTTTTTAAGAGAGAATAATGTAGAATGGGATAAAAGTCTTGAGAAGGCATTTCATAAGAGGATAGGAAAATTAAACTCATCATTAGCATTTAGGGAAGTAAAAATTAAAACCTAGTTTTAACTGATAAGCATAACTTTAATTAGGATAGGAGTGTAGCATTGGGTAAAATAGTACACTTGCCTAAAATTTGCCAGACCTATGTATGGTTCTTTCTCCAGTATCATCAAAAAAATGCATTAAAAAATGAATAAGTGGGCTGGGAAGGTGGCTCAGTGGTAGAGTGCTTGCCTTGCATGCATGAGGCTCTGGGTTCAATTCCTCAGCACCACATAAGCAAAAAGAAAAAAG